AAATGAGATGGGTTGAACTAGGAGCAGTACTGCCATAGTACTCTAGGACAGTAAGATTACTTGGAAACTAACCTATATTTCTAAGTCCAGAGCCAGCCTGCACAGCATAGAGAGAACCACATGGCAGCTGGAGGGTGATGACAGCTAGTCGTAAGGTGGAGTGGGCAATTACTTTAACTAACATTTTAACTGATGGGATATTGCCAAGGAAACATATTACATTCTGTTCCTGTCACTTGCCTGAACGCTGCAACGTTCTTCAGTATCTTTCTAAATAAAAAAAGCTATAAACTAAAATGTGCTGGAATCAAGTTTCTTTTTGCTTTGGTTTTAGTATGAGCTTTTCCTGCCTAGGCAGGGAAGAGCCTGGAGGCAAGAGGCCAAGATGAAGCACAAGTTTCTATTGCTTTTCCACAACCTTGTCACCAACACAGACCCAAATCTTCCACAGATGGCCCAAGGTGTCACACGTTTTTTGATCAATATGGTATGGAGAATGGATTTAGGTCTAGGATATGCTGTAAACTATCCCTGCAACATACATTCAACACCCTCTGTCAGCCACAGCCTGCTAAGGAGAGTTTGTCTGCTTTAGAATCAGGTGATGTGATGGAGCTGGGATCTCTCTCCCCGCTTCTCCCAAGTTCCCAGCCTGCATCTCTTGGCTTATGTGCAATTACAGGAAGAGAAAGCATTTACTGGACCTGGTGACTGGCATGGCACAACTGTAAGGAAAATTTCTCAATACTCAGCCAGGTAAGACTCGAGGCAATTATGTGCTGAATAATGCCCTTCGGCCCTGCTCTTTGGCACTGGCTGCAGAAAAGATGGTACCAGTGAGATCGTACTGGTCATTAACTTTTGACTGTAAACATGACAACAGTTGACTGCAACTCCTAGAGGGTGCTGCAGCCACAGCCAAGTGCGTTAGGATAAGCTAGATACTGCATAACACAGTTCCTTGACATCTCTTGCCATATCAGCAAGTGCAGATGCTAGAAACTGTGCTGTATTTTAAATGGAATTTTACAGAAATTGGGATTTGGAGCCACTTAAATATGGTAAAAGCTAATGCACTCGACGGTCTCTCCTGTTAGTTATGAAACACTGTGTTTTGCACTTTCCCCACGTTTCATCCTGCTGTGCTGAGGAAGCTTTAATGAGGAAGCAGGAGTTTTTGGCAGTCAGCAAGGCCTGGGGTTTGGCAGCCGGGTGTTTCTGCTGAAATGGGAACTGCTAAGGTGAACTGTCCAGCTCAGACTCCAGCCCAAGCACCCCAGGGAGAACAAGGGGTCAGTTCCCAGCTTGCCGGCTGTCTGCATGCTCTGGCAGACCAGGTGACTTCAGTGCCAGGCCAAGCTGCTCTCGCTTCACGGAGGCATCGTGGTCCAGGGAACTGAGAGATGTCTCAGGCCTCAGACAAGTCCGGGGGCTCCTCCTGCCTCCACCTGCCTGAGGTAACCTTGGGCAAGCCCCTTTTTCCCTGCCTGAATCAGTTTCCCCGTCTGTAGAATGGGCACAATAGGCCTCAGGTCGACTGCTGAAACCCCCCGTAAAAGCCGGGCATCCGCCCGGCCGGGGGGGGCGGAGTTTCGATGACGTCGCGCATGGGCCGATCCATGTTGTCACCGCAAGCTGCGGGACTCCAGAGGCTGAGGTTGGCCCGGCCATGACATCACCCCGCCGCCAGCGGTGACGTGTGGCGTCACGCTCGAGGCGTGGGGCGTTGCGGAAGTGACGCGCGCGGTGGGTGGGTCCGTCGCGCTGCGAGAGAGAGAGAGAGCGAGGCCGCGTCCCCTTGTCGCCGCCCGGCCGCGCCGCCGCCGCGCTCCTCAGCTATGTCCGGCCCCGGCAGCGGCGGCGAGTTTGGCAACCCGCTGCGCAAGTTCAAGCTGGTCTTCCTGGGCGAGCAGAGCGGTCAGCGCCGGGCCGGGGCCGGGGCCGGGGCCGGGGCCGGGGCCGGGCGGGGGGACCCAGGACAGCAGCGCAACCCGCCCCGCCCCTGCTGCGTCTTGCCGGCTGCTGCGCTCCCCAGGCGCCTTCCCTTTCCCAGTCAGCGCCTCGGAGCACTTGGGGCTGCGCGCGCCCCGGGGATCGGCCCTTCACGGCGCGGCCCCGAGCGGGTGTCGCCGGCCGAGGCCTGGCGCCGTCACGTGGCCTCCCCTGTGGGTGCCGCCTCAATCTCGCACACAAAACACCTGCGTCTGGCTGGGCGGGGAGCGGATGGAGACAGAGGGATTGGCGCTGGTCAGGGTCCTCTTCCCCGTTCCCCTGAGACAGCCTCCATCAGGGCCGTGCCCCTCGCTCCCATGCCCCTTTCCTTTGGGAGTGTGTACAAGCCCTTTTGCACCTGGCTCTGCTCTGAGCTTCCACCACACCTGATGGTGGCAGATACCGCGTTTGAATAACGGGGGGGTGGAGAAGGACCTCCTCATGGTCATTTTAAACTTGCTGTCCTGCTTTCAAACCCTTTACAGCTGATCGTTTCTGCAGCGTATGAGAGATGTGGAGCCCTGGCTGAGATACCCACTGGTCTCCCGCCCCCCTTGTTCTGTTCTTTCTCCTATGCAGCACCTTACATTCATAGACTTGTGGATGTTGGGGTCGGAAGGGACCTCAACAGATCATTGAGGCTGACCCCTGCCTAGGTAGGAAAGAGCGCTGGGGTCAGATGACCCCAGCCAGATGCCAATCCAGCCTTCTCTTAAAGACCCCCAAGGTAGGGGAGAGTACCACCTCCCTTGGAAGCCCAGTCCAAATTTTGGCCGCACTTACTGTGGAGAAGTTTTTCGTTGGAAGAACATTAGGGAAAAGCTGCCTGGAAGCTCTTGCAATTACTGACAAAGCCTTTCTAAAAACTCTTCTTTTTGTGCTGCCTTTTTGTTGATGGCAGCTCAGTTACAGCCAGGTTGAGGCCAGTGTTTCCTTGAAATCTTTCATTAGTATCCGTGGTTGTCTTTACAGACCAGAATGAAAACCCTTTGTGTTCTGTGCGTGTTCAGCACTGTGCAGAATGAGCCCCTTACCAAGATAAGGGCTCTTATGCGCCATAATAATACTGTTAGTTAATAACTTAGGTGGATTTGGTGTTTCTGCCTCTGCAAAACTGATGCATCTTAGGTCCTATCTATACCATAAATATAACTGAGTGAAGGACACTGTTCTGATAAGTCTAGTTAGTATTAAAAGTCTTTGCCAAGTTGTGACCAGGATCTTTATCAAGTCTTTATGTTAGAAACAGACTGATCTTGTCAGATGAAGGACACAACTGGGAAAGTAACTGTAGGATTAGAAGCTTTATTGCCTAGATGAATTATGCTCTGGGACAGGCGTTGTGCAGGCATATGGTACCACTTGTTGCTCTGCTGCCACTGGAACGTGATAGCATGTATGTTTTCCTTTTGCAGTTGGGAAGACATCCCTGATCACCAGGTTTATGTATGACAGTTTTGACAACACTTATCAGGTGAGTGGGATCCTGGCAAACATTGGTCTTTACCAAAATTCTTCATTTGGCAAGACTTCTTTCATGAAATGTCAGCTGGGCACATTTTACCCCCTGCCTTCATGTGATGTTGGCTCAACACTGTTTAAGAGTCTGTGATATACTTTCAAGATGACAAGTAGATTGGTGTGATGGAGATTGGGTAGCTAGTGGGAGGCAGGAAGAGTGCAGCTGTTGTGGACGAATCTATCTTTGCAGTGGAATTTTCAGTACCTGTAAATTGGGCGGGCAGTTATATTGGGCGGAGGGCCACTTACTGAATTTTGGCAAGCCATCTAGGGCCACATGACGGGCAGCCAGAGCAGGTGTATATTAATTTTGTACATTTTTTAGGGGCCCCGTGGGCCAGATAGAATGGCCTGGTGGGCTGTATCTGGCCCGTGGGCAGCATTTTGCCCACCCCTGCTGTAAATGAAGCAACATTAGATTAAATCAGCCCAAAGACCTGGGTTTTCTAATGGGCAAGATGTAAGATATGAGCCTGGATGATAGGACTAGATGTGTAGCTGGAAAGGGAAGGCCAGGTCATGGAGGTCTTGCATGGGGTGGGGAGTGGGAGGGATTTGGATAGTGTTGGAGTGATGTTGTAACCATGATGGGACAGGAAAAATGTGACAGGTAAGGAATTTTGTGGTAGGCATATAGATGGGGTTTTGGGTACCAGCATACTTCCTCCTCCATAATTCATCTGGTCTATCTCTTTCCCAACTGTACAGTTGGCCCAATAAAAAAATACCACCTGGATGTAAGGATCTTGAGGACAGACTGAAGTTGCCACTGGATTAAGGACCCAAGTAATAGTGAAGAAGAGAATATTCAGGGTGACTGAGAGGATGGTTGGAAGAGCGCCCAAGTGAATGAAGGAAAAAAGAATAAGAATTGCTTTTAGCCCAAGGCGCCTGGGTAGAAATGTCAAAATTAATTTTGGCAGAAGGATGGGCCCAGAGTGGAGAGTTAGATCTGTAAGTTGATAGTATAATGATAGTTGGAAGTTGTTTGGATAATCTCATACAGTAAGAGCATGTAGAAAGGAAGAAGTCCTTTGAGACCCCAACAGAAAGCTGGGTGGTGGGAGGTATGAGGATCTGCCTAATGAAAATAAAAGGAATAATAAGAGACAGTCTGAGAACTGGGACAGTACAAAAAGCTTAGGGAAGCCAAGACATCAAGAAGGATTTTCCCTACAAAGGCACTAACTAGGGTTGTTTGCAGCAAAATCTGTCTAAAACCCAGTGGTTACAACTTGTTGAGTCATAACTAGTCTTCATTTCACAGCCTTCTTCTGGATAAAGGAACCTACTTAGGATCAGTGTCTAGGAAATATTAACAGATCTTTTACCTGACCAAGTCAGTCTCTGAATGTCCCCATATGCAGGGGACTTTATACAGTGGCTGTGCTTAGGGGAGAGCAGTATAGGAGGAAAGAATATTACAAAGCAAGCTGCCTGGGAAGTAGTGCTTCTAACCTGCACTATAGAGGGAGTTGCAGTCTTAGCTTAGAGCTCTTGTTTGTACATTACCAGGCAAGCCAGGGACTTTACTGCCAAACTTAAGTGTGATTCAGCTTACCGCCATCCACAATCCTGGCATCCAACTCCTCAGTCATATTAACAATCTTTTCTCTGGCCTTGGAGTTATTTCTGCATAAGGAGCCTTTTTTCTGTACAAGAAGTCACTCTGGTCAGATGCTTTAATTTTGGGAGAGGAAGTGCTTATGTCATAGTGAAAATGTTGGAACCAAAAGGAGTGTGATGGCATTTGGATGGTGAAGCCTGCAAAGTGATGCTGGTGGGGTTGGTAATGTTGGCTTGATTTTTTTCCCCAGTAATTGAATTGATGGAAAATATAGCTGAACAAGTTCAGTTGTAAGTGTATGAAGGTTTGTCACTGGAAATCATAGATTCCTAAATGGGGATTAGAAGTATAATTGCAGGTTACTAAGTTTTTTTTTCTCCTTTTCAGGCAACCATTGGAATAGATTTCCTGTCAAAAACCATGTATCTAGAAGACCGCACGGTGAGTGAGGAATCGGTGCAAATGACCTGGCACCTGCAGTCACAGGAGCAGCATTTGCCCAAGTACCAGCTCTGTGCCTGTATTATTTGTCTTACGATGACTGTTTCTTCAGACCCACAACAGTTTTTAATGGGAATTCCCTGACATGGTCATGCTGGATTGTGTAGAATCCAGTTTCTTGCAGTGCTGGATCGAACCACTGGTCCAGTCTCCTATCAAAAGCTGTTCATGCAAAATTGGGACAAGCTAACTAATCCATATCCTTGGGGAAAGGGCTGGCTTCTTTATGCATCATAGGCATAACTCTTGTCACTAGTTGTCAGTAGTTGCTGTTCTGCTTCTGAAACTGATCTAAGTGGTTCTGCCCTGGGAAGTTGTTCAAGATTTTCACAGGTAACAAAGCCGCTCCTTTTCAGGGTTAGATACCTTTATCTGTAATTGGTGTAATACTAGTCTATCATCACTAGCATCACTCCAGTGTACATCTGAGTAGAGACAGTCAAGGAAGGAAAGCCTTAGTGATGCAATACAGTTAAGTGTTGGCCTTGAAAGGGGCCCAGGTCTCATTTCATGCTTTTTCCTAGTATCTGATTTTTGGCTGTGCTTCATGTGAATGCATAAGGGTGGGTAAGCAGGATGGAACTCCCTTTGGGGCTTGCCCCTGCTGCTTCTGAGTAGTGCAGTGCATTGCTAAACTTCTTGGTTTGTGCAGCACTGGTACAGGTGTCTCTGTGATATTCTCAGCCCAGTGGACCTGGTGTGACCTCAAAGTGAGATGGCTGAGAACTGAAACCCTCCTTTGTCTTCCTGCATGAAGGAGTAAGTGCATATATCTGTCTTGACTATACCAGCTGTCATGCTCTCCTTTGCTATACTAGCAGCAGTAGGAGAGAATAGCTAACAGGCATAGGTAACTGTGCTAGGCCTATTTCTGGAGCCAAGTTGGAATAACTGCAAGTGAAAATTTGACCAGTCAATACAGTTTACAGCACCAAGGCCTTTAGAACAATGTTTTTGTTTGTTTGTAGGGTGAGCCTTAACTCTTGTGGCTGTGGAAGACTCTGTACTACACACACAATCAGCAGATTGGAACCTGACCTGTTCTGAGGTCCATTTTGGTAGAGAAGGAAGGGTCCAGGTGTCTTTCCCTGACATGAGCTGTACTCTTAGCCTTCTCAGCCATGTAACTGGGCCACTGGAGGCCCACAAAGCCTATTAAGTGGGGACAGAGATCCTGAATGTAGATGAGACTGTGAAGGAGAAATGTCTGCACTTGGGCTGAAATACCTGGCTGTGTTTGACATAACTCTTCTTACCAGGCCTTGGAAAATCTGGTACCAGCTATAGCTGAGCCAAGGCTCTGACTGTTATGCTTGGAGCGAACCATGACATGGCTTTGCTTGCAGATTGGTCTGCCATATGGTGTTGGTTTCTTGGTCTTTTTTTTTATCCTCCCTTCAGGCTGCCCATGGGCCAGGTCTATGAGCTGTAAATTGGCTTGCCTGTACTAGCCAGTAGAAAATATAAAACTGTGTGGAGAGACCAATGCCTGCACTTACAATTCACAGAACTAACTGTGTAGTGCAGTTTGTAACTAGTTGCTTGCTGGGAGATGCAGCAACAAGTGAAATGGAGTTTTGAGGAACCCTGTTTGCCCATCCCTTTAATGAGTGCCTGTCGCTGGGAGACAAGGCTACGTCACAGCTATGATCGCAAGCTGGGATACTGGAGGATACTTTCTTCCCCTGCTTCAGTACTTTTCCCTGAGAGGCTGGATTCAAGTGTAAGATAAGCCTGTTTGGAGGTGTTCATTCTTCTAGCTTGTTACCAGATACCTTCACTGGTATTTGGGCTGGGGGCTCGAATATCGTGCTTTGGCACTTTGTACCAGGCTCCATACTGAATCAGTCTGTAGCAGGTTGCACTAATCCTGAAGTATTAGGTGTGACTTCATACAGCTGTATGTGGGCATCAGCAGGTATTGTTCTCTATCTCAGCCTGGAGCCCTGACTTGTTAGGATGCACTGAAGTAGATAGGCGTATGTGGTTAGAAGAGCTGTGCGTGTTTGTGAGACAGAACAGGCTTGTGTGGAGGTGGAACATGAGGCTTGCTGCTGTGTTGGGCTAGACTTCCTGCAAGGCTGGGATAGAGGGGGATCTTTTGGCTTTTTCACATTTTTTTGTTCCATTTTAACTTTCTTTTGCATTGACATTTATTTATTTTGCTTTGCAAATTTTATTTTTTTCTAATTTCACTTGGGTTTTGGTTTTGTTCTGTTTCTATTTTCCCATTCCCTTTCCCTCTTCCTCCATGCTCTTCCATTTCCCAGATCAGGCTGCAGCTGTGGGACACAGCCGGCCAGGAGAGGTTCCACAGCCTCATTCCCAGCTACATCCGTGATTCTGCTGTTGCTGTCATTGTCTTTGACATTACAAGTACGTACAGAGCCTGACCCCCAGCAGGGGCCCTCCTTCAAAAAAGTACCCTTTAACTGTGTAAGGCATAGCTAAGCTTTTGGAAATGTCTGGCTTCCAAGAGAGCTTGGATAGACTCACAGCTAGAGGCCTGCAGATATTTTGTGGTTGAAGCTGCTGTCGCTGGGGAGTGGTAGCCCAAGTCTCTTTATCTATCTCCATCTAGGCTGCATGGGGTATTCCAAATGCCTTCCTCCTCAGAACTCAAACCTTAAAGGTGATTTGCAAAGGCTGAAATGACTTATACCCTCTTCTTTTTCTCTGGTATAAATAAGCTTGTTTCCTCTTCTGCTTCATTTTGTATTAGAAATATAGGCTTTCTGTGTGCTGGACATTTAAAGAGCTAGTAGGAATAGTGACAGATACTCAGGTGGTTAGAGGTGCACCGATATATCCGTCCATATTGTATCAGCACTGATAAAAGGAAAATTGACATTAGTGGCGATCAGCTTTTTTTGGTCAATGTGGCTGATGTTACCAATAAAAGCCACATGTGAAGCCACATCATGCACACAGCCATGAATGCAGCTCAACAGCATGGAGAGCAGCATCTGATGAGTCTGTGGTGAGGAAGGAGCATGGGGAAGGGAAGAGGGGTAGTGGGGACAGATCTAGGCCCTCACAGTGAGGGAGGGAGTGAGTGGGGTTGGAGCAGGCACTACCGAGGTGGGGCAGGATGGGGTTGTGGAGCTTACCCAGGGGAGCAGGGAGTGGCTTCTGCCGCTGTATGCACTCCTGGGGCAAACGGAGGGGGGGCATGTATACCCCAGATTTGCAGATGGGGCTCGGGGCCGGGGGCTGCGCTGGTCTCTTCCTGGTGGGGCGGCTGGGCCTGGGCTACACTTGCAGCGGCACTGGGGGGAGGGGG